TATTATTGTGATATTGTTATGAAAAATGATAAAAATTATTTCCCTTTTAATTTATATGATATCTTTTGAGCCAATTTTATTATTTTAAACATATTATTTTTTTATTTCATAAACACGAAACGTTTTTTTGATTGAAGCTATTTCTAGAATTAATTAAATTTAAAATGTTTTTTTAAAAGAAATCAAATTGTCGTCTTTACGTACTGAAAATGTCACTAATTATGCAATTATTTGAGTATAATTGATAATAATTATTCACAGAAAGTAAATTTTTTTATATCTTTCTTCCTCAATGCGATTTATTAGAATGCTCTGAGAATGTTATATACATCGATAAACTTCTACACATTCCACGCTTAGACGTTATAAAGCTAACAACCAGCTAGCTAGAAACAAATATGCCACTAAAACTGAAAAGTGACAATTTAACCTGTGCATCGGGGGTTACAGGACATTTGCAATCCTCGAAACGCATGTATTCTACAAACAAATAAATTCTGCTGGGCCTTTTCTCGAGTTTTATTTTCGAAATATGTATGAGATACTTCAAATTATTCAAATTTACTTTATTTATACTTATGAAGTTCAAACTAATTATATTTTTAATATTAATTAAATGTTAGGAAGTGGACCGGAAGTCCGGAACCACACAAAAATTAAAAAAAAATTATAAAATAATTTTATAAAACTATTAATGTTAAAAGGTAGAAATTTCATGTCCATAAAAGGGCGTGTTTGAATATAATTATAAGAAAAGAGTACTTCTCATATTTTAACAATAGAATAATGTAATACCTAAGATCAAACTATCTTCGATTGGGATCGAATTGACAGACAATTTCGACTCATCCCGCGATCTAGGTTCCGATCTCGTTAAACTTAGTAACGAGTGACGACCAATTAGAAAGCGGAAATGAGTAAGAATAACCAATCGAAATGGTCGATCTAGCACCCGAAAAAGTTATTAAAATCGGAATTTTAAGGACACGGAGAGCTTCTTTCTATTGCTTCCTATTGTGCCACACCTTCCGTGGAAGAATTATCTTCACCCCAACTCAAAACAGGACTAAACATCTACGCCCCGGGGCCGTCGACTCCCAAAGGAACATCGAGGGTCCTTTCTCTTAGGACTTTTCTCTTTAGTAAGAAAAGGGAACCTGAAAATTTAGTCTCCGTCGACAGATCGAAGAATATTGTTGTAAGCTATATTTTTAAGTTACAATAAATCGGAATGAAATTTATGTAACTGGAGAGTTGTCTCTGTACCAAACGCACTCACATACGATCCAGAACTGCTCGGATATCCTGTTATTACGCGCAGCACATAAATATTAATTTCAAAAGAAATAACTCTGACTTGAATTTACCGAATAATTCGAATTAGATTCAATTCTATGAGTTGTGTATAGGTATATTTATTATTCCATTACATGTTGATGTATAAATAAGCAAACAAATGAGAAAATAAGCCAGAATGTACTATAATAAGCACTTATATATATTGTAAATGTTTATTTCAGTTAATTTTGTTTAGTAAAAAAAAGCTACTTACAAACTGAGCGATGAAGTTATCAATGACAAAATCCAGCAACGAGATGCTTAACTTGCCTGGCAACTATGAGAAATATTTTGGGTTAGACAGAATTTTTTTGGGAAATTTTCAGAAGTATAAAAACATACAAGTTAAATATTGTAGAAAAATTCTTGCACACAACATTCTGAAGAAATGAAAATAATAACAGTTTATAAAATACAGATACAATATACGAAAAATGTTTTTTCACAAAAGAAAATAGATTTATCAGTAGAAAAATTATCATATTCATATAATATTCATTATCATATAAAAATTATCGATAATTGTAAGCGCCGTAATTATGTAAACAGTTTTTGCAAACTTTTTTCAAAATTTCCATGTTTCATTTTGTAAATATAATTTTAATAATCATTTAAAGAAATTCTGAACTGAAAACAAGAGGATTAAAATAATTAAATAGATGTTTATGCCATTCAGTTACATTAAGATGTTAATCTATTTTATTATGCTTTGCAACCATTTCTCATATGTTTCCAATACTTTCTATTTATTTTAATACACGTAATTGCAGCCAGCTGGACCATGTCTAGAAACACCAGCTTCACAGAAGGTCCACAGGGTTCAATTTTCGCTGGAGGCGGACTTCATTCTTCTTGGCTAAATTCTCCTGTGGATAAGGATTAATGGATTAATGGATAAACATTTGTATATCCTCTTGTGTTACAATGACAAACTAATTTGTTTTCACTAAAATATACATTCGCAAAGTTTACTTATGGAGGTTAAAATTAATTTTAAAATCCTATTGATGTTTGTACCGGATTCTTTCATGAAAGTTTTCGTATGTAAACGTAACAGCTTTTTTTTTTTTTTTTAATCTGGAGAACAAAAGTTTTCATCAGCCACATTTCATATCGTTTCGAAAATCATTCTACAACAGAATATGCTTATTGAGCTTGGATATTGTTATTAGAGTTAGAGCAGCCCAAAATATAAAAAAAAAACATTTGCTTTTTGTAATTAGTTTTCGTTACAGTTATTATTATCTAAAAGTAAATAGGCATTTTTTATCTGTCTTATGTTATTAGCCACAATATGAAAAACTACTAACAACGTGAAAAATTATCAATTATCATTTTCAGTCTTAACTTAGCAGAGAAACTAATAATGATATTATATTTCTGTTCAACCATTGATTAATGTCTCAATCAGAAGTACTCAAAACGTGTGCAAAGAGACTTGTGCACAAACATTTCTGAAAAATTGGGCTAGTCTTAAGTTAATACGAAACAAAACATTTTCGCGTAATACATACGTAAAACGTGAACGTTTTCTCAAATGATCAGTCATACACAGTAAAACATTGAAACTTGATTGATCACAACTATATTTATTTATCCTTTGTAAAAATATAAAAATATAAAAATCTAAAGTGAAATCTGAATATTTAGGGGAAAAAATAATCCTGGCTATGTTAAACATTATCAAAAACGCAACAATAGATTTACAGTTAAATTTTCGTATGTCAAATATGATCAGTTTTTGAAATGCAATATATATAAGCAACATTTCGAATATACCTATCGATACATAACATGCTTAATGATTACGAATGAAGAAATATTGAATTAATAATACACTTAAATGAATCATAAGCATATCAAGCGTGACTAATTTGTAACAGGCCTGATTTTAAATTATGATATGTCCTACGCTATATTTAAAAAAGAAAATTTTTTAATTAGAATATTATTTATTTATATAACAGTCAACACTGCTTTCTTTATTGGGAATATTTAAAATCAACTGTTATGATTTCTTATCTAAATATTATAGTTTAGAATATTTTAAAAACACTATAATATATTTCCTATGAAATAATATAATTTTTTTTAAATATCTTACATCTATATATTTCAATCTTATATAACTAAAATAAATGTTGATCATAGACACTAAAGATAACATAGATCTATTAATGAAAGTTACTTTGAATAAAGTATTAGTTTTTATATGGATCTTTTCATATTCTTTATTTCTTAATACCTACATCATTTTTATTGTCTACATTCAACATACGTTTTAATTAAATTATAAAAGATGGAAATATAATGATGTAAAAGTATTTAAAAGATTCTACATGTCATTTCATAGAAACTATTTTTTTTTATTCCATTATGCTATTGAAAACGAAGGAATTATATAATACAGTATATAGAATATGTAAACTTGTGATTTTGTTGCTCTTATTATTAATATAATTTATAATTTAATTTATTTTTTACTTTTTAATTTTTAGTTTTCTATTACTGACAAACGGTTAGGGTAGCAGCCTACCCCATGAATTTTTCGGGGCGTGGTCCGTCCGGATATGTCAAGACCATCTCTTACCACTTGGCTGTCCCATTGTGCACCTGGCCGAATTTACAACAGGCTTGCTAAAAAAGGCCCTCTTAGTGTTCACAAGGCGTAAAGTTTTAAAATTTTTCTAAAACTTTATTATCCATCCATTAATTGGGAATGGAGTTAGAATATAATTGATAGCAGAAGGAAAGATTTATTTTGATAATACAGTAGATTCACAATTATCCAGATTAACATGGGGGACGGCCGAGCCGGATAACACGGAAATTGAAGATAAGGCATTTCTTGTGCAGCCAAGCACGTCAGTGTGTCCCATATGTGGGTTATTTTTCAGCTGAAATTTTTACGGTATATTTGATAATGTTTGAATACAAAATTTTCAGCAAAAGTGAGCCTGTAATTTACCACGCATCCATGGAATAACCGCATGTTTTATGGAAACGTTTGCGATAGTGTTTTTACCAAATAGTATTATTTAATAATAATGTTCTATAATAAAACATAAAAATAATCATAAAAATATAATTATTTTGTACTTTTTGTTTATATAAAAAATTTTATGGCATTGCTGATCGGCCCGGAAAATACGGAAGGCCGAATCGCGAGTCTACTCTACCGTTATATTACGTAGCGAATTAGTTTAATAAAATTTTAAAAATATCAAATTTTAAGGTCTTTATTTTAAAACTAAACAATATGGGAATTTTCATTTGTTTATTATATATTTTTACTTTATATTCAATGAAAGAAATTGCTCAGAAGCCCAAAAAGTAGTAAAGTCAAATTTACGTCACTCGACAATTACCATAGCATTTTTCAGTTCTATTGGATGAAATTACAGTAAATTAACTACATTTTTTAAAATATGTCAATAACAAAAAAATTGAAAGTACAATACGTATTCAAAAGTAAACTAAAAAATTCATATATATCATTTAAAAAAACAGGGCATATACACATGTAAATATTACTATATTTATTTTCTTTGTAACCTTCTGACAATCGAATAAATGTATAATTTAAAATAGAAGGTCACGTAATAAATTAATTTCAGGTATATCAGGTTCTGAGTAACGTCACCTAAAACCGATTACTAATTTAAAATCCGTCCTACCCAGAATGCATTTCACGTAAACAAAAATGGCGTCGTTAATTATTTTGTAACTGACGTAGATAAACGTCGTTGCCGAATTTATCAAAATTATTACGTTAAAAAAATTATACTTAATTATTAAGACTTACGATAACGCATACCGATAAGCGTTAGATATTTCGAATTGATAAAAGAATATGGCAAAGTAGAATTGAACTGATGAGTAGAAGAGAATGTGGTGTAAGGATTGTATTTTCTATGCAAAAAACATTTGTTATGTATTAATGGTTTCCAACCGACGAATTTTTATTTGCTGGACAGATTACAGTGACAAACAGCTTCAGGCTGTTGATAAATATTCTCTGCTTAATTCTACATTTAATCAAAGGTATTTATGACAATCCTTCATTGGTTTTTAAAAGGTAAGTTTCTTCTCTCGATACGTTTGTTTATAATTGATAAATATTAATTAATGCGATACGACACTTTATTGATTACCGTGTTATTGAGAAATTTCGCTATTGCAATGTTAAACTATCGCGTGTTAGGTTTTTGTTGACTCATTTTTTTTTATTGTTTTGTAAGTCGTTGCTGGGGTTCCTTGATAAATTTAGCTTCTTCTTCCAAAAATTTGAAAATTAATTTTTACTTAAATTGTTCTATTCCTAGAATCTTTATTAATGAATATATATATAAATGTTTACTAAATGATTTGGTATGTTTAAATTTCTTGTTTTGAAAACTTGATAATCATCATGAAAATTCCTTTTTAAAGATTTTTATACTTTATGAACTCTTCAGGTATTCGTTTAATATTTAGTAAAGTCGAAGTGAATAAATCCATTGTTATTCGTTCTCTGGAAACAGGTTTGAGAGATTAAATAATTCTTTTAACGGTTAAATGCTCTTTCATTTTCCGAAAGTGATGAAATCTTAAAAATTTAATACTTATTAAGTTAGAAAAGAATATGATGTGTTATTGAGATAAACAAATGGCTAGATAAAATAATTCTATACGAAAGTTTATTTTTACAAATAAACTTTCATACAGAATTATAATAAGAGAAATAAGACAAAGTTTATTATTACAAATAAACTTCCTTATTAGTTTCAGTTTTGTTTTCAATTTAAATTTTGATATAACCTTCCACAGTTACTCATGGCACTGGCTGGAGACCGACTTGTATGTCAACGGTCAAAGAACTATTCCATTACGACACTACTTGATTATAATTACTCGTCAGGCCTCGGGATGTGTATTATATTGTTTTCAATTGTTTAATACTTACTAATGATATATGTTAAACAACAACACACAACACTGGGGTATAGTCAATAATGTAACCTATGAACTGATGACCAGTGTGTGATGAAAAAACAAACAAAAGAAAAATTCACAACTAACATTTTCAAACTCCCCTGAGTTCTTCAGGTGTAAATGAATGTCTGATGGAATGCTAATTTGTTTACACCTAAGAACTCGGGAGTTCGAAAACATTAGTTGTGAATTTTCCTTTTGTTTGTTTTTTTGTCACATATTGGTCATTGGTTTTTTCTTTCTTTCTTTCTTTATCCCATGGGTTAATATGGAGATTTCAGCCATGTTGGCTCTCTTTTCCGATATGTGCTGCCTGGGTCATTGGTTCATAGGGTACATTATTGATATATGTTAAAATTAGTATATTGTAAAAAGTTTTCATAATGTTTATATATTTTTATTTTCTTATAGATCTATGTCAAATTATTATATATGTTCCATGCATCATACTAAAGTTTTAATTATGTTGATTAAAGTGTAATGGAATTATTTTTAAATTGAACTTTAATTTTTAACCCTGCTGAAAGTTTTTACATTGAATTCAGATTACTAATTATTATTTTCTATTAAATTTCATTAATAATTAAATGTGATTTTAAGAAACATCTTAATCTTATTATGAATTATTTTAAATAATATTGAAAAATAAAAAGTATAATAATTTTAAATTAAGTATTCTAAATGAATATTTATATTAATTGCTATTATTATTATTATTCATCCAAAATGTCCAGTGTTCAATATATTGTATTACTATTCCTATTTTTCAGTATGTCTACAAAACAGTGTATAAAAAAAAGAAACTAAAAAAAAATTGAATATATGTATTGACAATTTGAAATTCTTTAAAATATAACATAAAATATACAGTACTGTAAAACAGTTTAAAAAACATTACTGTTATTACAATTTTAAAGCATAATTTGTTTATGTTAAATATTTTTCTTTTGGTCAATTTTAGCTCCAATAAAGCAGTATTTTTGTTACTATTATATAGCAAAAATTCTGCTTTACTGTATTATCAGTAAAACTTCTAAATTTTTAATTTGAAAGATGAAAAAAAAAAAAAAATGGTTAGTTTGGGTTATGGAGATATATGTTATATATGATGGAGACATAGAGATATATGAAAAATAGAAAAAATTTTTTAGATACATGGTACTAATCAGTAGAATAAAGGATATAATTTTGTGATATATTTAAGTCCATAATATTTATTTGAGTTATTATTAGAACAATATATGAGATTGTAATAATGATTTAACTTCTTCCACACTTTGTTTGTGCATTTATCAGTTAATTCTTGCCAGGTGAAGTTGATATTTCCTATGGCATCCATCATGATATATTTTTTCCAAAATTTCACCAAACAAACATAGATTTAAAGAAAGTACACCTTTTTGCCATTTTTTGCTGATTGGTTTGTGCTTGCAAATAATCGTATTATGTAAGGATCAATGAAATGCCATGATAATTTAAATCAGCATAAATTTTGAGCTTTTTTTAGGATTTGAGCAGACTGCATTATAACGAATCAGTGTTAAGCAGGGTCTTACTGTATTTTATTAATCAAAACTCTATTCTAGCAAATCGTGTTTGTTCAGTCGAATACCGAGTGATTTTTTCCCAGAATTTTGAATACTGAATTGTTCAAGTTGGGAACAGTACTGTTGTATTTTGTTCATCATTTTTACAAATGATTACTTACCTACGATAAAAAATAGTTTAATAACACTTACCTAAACATGTTTAAATAAACTTTACTAAATACAAAGATTAATCTATAAAAAGAAGTCTTACACACAGTGACAGTCTTAAGGGATAAAGTCTGAAAGCAATAACAATGACACCTAGTTGACAAGAATGCTAGGACAAGGAAGAAAAAAATTGCAATATCAGTTTTCATTAAAGTAAACCTGATGAAAGGCACAAAACAAATTGAAAATCTCAATATTCTAAAATTCATTTAGCAAATTTGAGACATGCATGCTTACTTGAAAAAAAATATTGAATAACAGTTTGTACTTAAACATTGTGAAATTTTGTACAGAAGATTTTCCACATTCTTGAACTATGTTTGAGTAAAACTGGAAACTGTTGTATGGGGGATATCTCCAATTTTTGAACTGTTGTTATAGTGAAACTGTTATAGAAGTGCCGTGTTATGTGAGTGATACCTGTACTTTATATTATATAGGGTGTTTCCTAAAATTGACAATCCAGTTCAATTTAAGGAAGGATTTGAGAAAGAGGGGATTAGAAGTTTTACTGTATATACATTATGAAATTCAAATTAAGTGAATAATAAAAATTTGATCAAGGGCTATGGCTACAAATGTTAATAATTATTAATTTGAATAATTTGCTGACAATTACTTTTCTTATAGAGCATTGATTATCCAAAAATAAATTAACTGAAAGTCTTTCAACTGAAATTTGACTTCAGAGAATTCTAATTCCAGAAGTTATGAAATTTTTACATAATTATTGTTGGTAATCTTCTATAGGCCCACTAACAATTTCATTTTTATTAATTTTACTATTATTTATTTTTTGGTTATATCAGTACAATATATATTATAGTGAAAGACTAATGGTTGTTTTTACTAAATTAGACAATGTTTTTGTTATTTCTAAAATTTGTATGAATTAAATTTCTATGATTTAATTTTCTTTTTTCTATTGTACAATCAAAATTAACATTTTAATTTTATTTAAGGTATTTACTTTTTTATTCTTTTCTTACCAAGTGTAATCCGTTATCTGAAAGTGTCCTACTGCAATTGTTTTGGATAATTTATGCTTTTCTCTACATAAGTATGATGCTATGCAAATTCTTGTACAAATAAGGTTCTATTTAGGTATTATGAAAGATATACATGTGTGTATCATTATAATACTTAAATAGTGTTTTGATTCATTTAAATATTCCTTTTTTTGCAGAGAAAAGTTAGAAGTTTATTTCATATTAAAAAACGTAACATTTTATAACTATATAACTTTTTGTAATTGAATTTACTGTTGATGTTACTTGATACATTAACAAATCAATTATTCATTATAGTATTTTGTGCATTTCTTAGTTATACTTATGAAAAATTTATATAAATTTGGATAATGTGTAATGTACTGTATAATTTTTTGATAAAAATTTTAACAGACAATAATAGATAATAATTACAGCTTTAAATATAATTCTAATGCTACTTTTGAACTTTTTTTAGGCTGTAGTTTAATTTAAAACTTGTTATTAAATCAAAGTTTTAAAAAGTACTTTACTTTTAAGATTTAAGTACCAAAACAATTTAGTTATTTGAATTTCAGAATGTTAATTTACAGACAAATTTTCTAATTAATTATGCGTGATATAGTTTCATGATATTTTAATTTTGTCAATAAAAGATGAGAACATTTGCAATGGTTACTTTTTTCAAATAAGGTTTAATTAAATATAATAATGATTTTACCATTTTCAAAATTTATGTTTTATGTAATATAGGCCTAATATGTTATTTAATCCTGATACTGTAAATTTTTAAATGTTTACTAAAAGAGAGGTTAAAATTTTATAATATATATTCATATATGATTTAAATATTCATACAGTAATATGAAATGTATAATTTAAAAAAATATATAAACCTTTACTAAATTTTTCTTAATTGTCAAAAATTAATAATAGAGTAATGAGGAAAATTATAGTTTTTAATGTCTTTTATTACTAATTACTTGCCAAAGAATCTGAGACTTTACTTTTAATTATTTATCATATCAACATTATTTTTGATAGCAATATAATATGATTTTTACCTTAAAAAGTAGCTTTTTCATTGGTAAGTTAATGTCAGACAGTTGTTCTGATATTAACATGTAATTGATCGAGTACTTTATCAAATCCAATGTATACTTTGCTTTATGGAGTTATATAGTTAAAATTGATCCATAAGAAATGTTTCTTGTTTAACAATAATTCAAAGTTGACATTTTCAATTTGATAAAATTATTTTTCATGAAGTGTGAATGGTTCCATATGAATGAATGTTTGAGAGATTTAATTAATAACATTTTGTAAGTTGTTGATTTTTTATATTATTTTATTTTTGA